GTCGATGTACCAGAGCTGGATGAGCGGTCTCTTTACACGTTAGTAAAGTATCTCGGCAGCTTCAATCACTGCGGTGGGCACTTCAATTCGCTGTAACACTCGAATGAAGCACAGAGCACACTTCGTACGTCTGGTCATTGCGCGGCCATTTGTACGACTCTCTCTGTCGCGAGGAAGAAGTTGGCGATGAGCGCGCCCGTGCTTGCGCAAGCTGCCGCGTCGATCCGGCCTGTCGATACCCGATTGATGCTGCCATTTGATAGGATGGCGCAGCGTGATAACTGAATCTCGAACATTCCGCCCGCCATCAGCAACCTTGTTGATGATCCCTTACTCTTGATCCTTATCCTGATGGGATGGGTAATCTGGCAAGCTTGGCAATTGGCCGGGTGAGTATCGTAGTGGCCGTCTTGAGGGTAACCACCCTGGTGAGTCCATTCTTGCCGGGGTGCAAAGCTGTTACTCTGGCGAGTGGCCATTTGCACGGTGGAGAGCGTTCGTCGGTGAACAGCACGATGGAGCCCACCTCGATGTTGTTGTTAGGATGATGCCACTTGGATCTCGTCTGCTAGCGTTGTAGATAATGAGCCGACCATTGTGCCCAAAAGTCTTGAACACGCTGCTGGATGAGCTGCCACTGAGATAATCGTGAGGTTGCCAGGTCAATCAGAGATGGCTCGGGTATGGTAGTGAGTGGACCTCCAATGAGAAAATGACCTGGTGTGAGCGCTGAGACGTCTTCAGGGTCGTCGCTCAACGGTTCCAATGGCCTTGAGTTGAGAATGGCTTCGATTTGCGTAAGCAATGTTGTTAGTTCTTCCGTCGTGAGCAGAGTCTCCCCGACAGTCCGTCTCAGATGAAACTTGACGGATTTTACCACCGCTTCCCACTTGCCCCCCATGTGTGGGTTGAATTCCCATCTGGTGCAATCAAGTTGTAGAACTTGAGCGATTCGTTGATGTTCTTGAGAACCTTGGATGAACATTTTCTTGAGCGCTGCGTCTGCTCCAATGAAAGTTGTCCCGCAGTCTGAATACAAGGTTTGAGCAATTCCCCTTCTCGATGAGAATCTTCGGTAGACTGCTATGAATCCTTCCGATGAGTAGTCGCTGACTACTTCGAGGTGAATTGCGGAGGTGGAGAAGCAGATGAACACACAGATCCATCCCTTGTAGGTTTTCGCACCTCGTCCCTTCCATGTCTTGATGGTGAGCGGTCCGGCATAGTCGACTCCGGTATGAACAAATAGACGTGACGGCGTAACCCGAGAGAAAGGTAGTTGGCCCATCAGTTGATGAGCACGGATTCCCCTCTACCGAGCACACACGACACACCGTAAGACTTCACTGGAGCCCGTCCGCCAATGATCCAGTATCGTTGCCTGACAT